CCAGTATGGCGAGACATTACTGTAAAATGACAGTTCAAGGCTGCAGTTTTAGCGATTCGATTCCTCTATATTTTACTGCTGGTTTCCTTGCATTTAAGGTGTCCATTATTTAACATGTTCTCCTGTTGATTGATGCCTTTAAGATAGTTGGGCTTTATAACATCAAATCACATTTATTACTCTATTTCCCTGCTGTTTCCTGAAATGAATGCACTGTATAGGTCTCAGATGTGAAATAGTGACCAGTCCTGTGAGGCATTACAACAGTAAATCACACAAAAGCTCATTATATGGGTGAAGGGAGTTATGGTGCATTGAGTCACCAAATTATTCATTTGGATCAATGAAATTGTATATGATCACAACATCTTTAATGCTAGCATGCAAACCTGTCAAGAAGTTAACTTCCCCTCCCTCTTGCAGCATCTTTTCTCTGATGATGTGTTTACTGGCGTGTGGGCGGGGCAACCTGTCACTCACATGATCGACCAATAGCAAACCGCAACCAATTGTCAAATCAATTGTATATATATACACACACACACTTTTTCATTCTATTTCTCTTTGATTTTATGGTAAAATGTGATTTGCACTTGTTTTAATGAGATTCAGCCCGTGAACTTTCATCTGAAGAGATCCAGGTGGAAGAACATCCCCTTAATACGCTTTATTTTAATGTTTTCGTCACTGCAGGAAAAAGGGCACATTCTGTCCGTTCCCAGGCATTGGATGAGCCTCGAGTGTGAGCAGCCGTGAGGAAGAGGGCCGTTGGCATGCTAAAGGCAAAACATGTCAGGTGCCAACATAGCCAGACATTATGGAATAAATCATTCCACTGCGTCCCAACTGACTTCAGCAGAGCTGATGACCTTCCAAGATCTGATCCCCCTCTAGAAAGCAGAGCAGAGCAGCGGATCGAGCTTTCAGATCAGTGTTCCTCTGCAGAAAGCAGGCGCTCGGGGTTGAGCTGGTTCACTGCGGGTCGTCCCTCAGCCAGATGCTGTAAAACTATGGAGTAAAATGCTATCTATCTATCTATCTATCTATCTATCTATCTATCTATCTATCTATCTATCTATCTATCTATCTATCTATCTGTCTGTCTGTCTGTCTGTCTGTCTGTCTGTCTGTCTGTCTGTCTGTCTGTCTGTCTGTCTGTCTGTCTGTCTGTCTGTCTGTCTGTCTGTCTGTCTGTCTGTCTGTCTGTCTGTCTGTCTGTCTGTCTGTCTGTCTGTCTATCTATCTATCTATCTGTATGTCTATATCATTCTAAAATTCTATTATTTGTTCTACCGTTCTGTCAATCTATCATTCTTTCTATCATTCTAACGTACCATCCATCCATCCATCCATCCAACATTTTATTGTTCTATCCATCCATCCATCCATCCATCCATCCATCCAACATTTTGTCGTTCTATCATCCATCCAACATTTTATCGTTCTATCCATCCATCCATCCATCCATCCATCCAACATTTTATCGTTCTATCATCCATCCAACATTTTATCGTTCTATCCATCCACCATACATCCATCCATCCAACATTTTATCGTTCTATCATCCATCCAACATTTTATCGTTCTATCCATCCATCCATCCATCCATCCATCCAACATTTTATCGTTCTATCATCCATCCAACATTTTATTGTTCTATCCATCCATCCATCCATCCATCCATCCATCCAACATTTTGTCGTTCTATCATCCATCCAACATTTTATCGTTCTATCCATCCATCCATCCATCCATCCATCCAACATTTTATCGTTCTATCCATCCATCCATCCATCCATCCATCCACCCAACATTTTATCGTTCTATCCATCCATCCATCTATCCATCCATCCATCCAACATTTTATCGTTCTATCATCCATCCATCCATCCATCCAACATTTTATCGTTCTATCCATCCATCCATCCATCCATCCATCCATCCATCCAACATTTTATTGTTCTATCCATCCATCCATCCATCCATCCATCCAACATTTTATCGTTCTATCATCCATCCAACATTTTATTGTTCTATCCATCCATCCATCCATCCAACATTTTATCGTTCTATCATCCATCCAACATTTTATCGTTCTATCCATCCACCATCCATCCATCCATCCATCCATCCATCCAACATTTTATCGTTCTATCCATCTTTACACCTAACATTTTATCGTTCTATCCATCCATCCATCCAACATTTTATCGTTCCATCCATCCATCCATCCATCCAACATTTTATCGTTCTATCATCCATCCATCCATCCATCCATCCATCCAACATTTTATTGTTCTATCCATCCATCCATCCATCCATCCAACATTTTATCGTTCTATCATCCATCCAACATTTTATCGTTCTATCCATCCACCATCCATCCATCCATCCATCCAACATTTTATCGTTCTATCCATCCATCCATCCATCCAACATTTTATCGTTCTATCCATCCATCCATCCTACATTTTATCGTTCTATCCATCCATCCAACATTTTATCGTTCTATCCATCCATCCATCCATCCATCCATCCAACATTTTATCGTTCTATCCATCCATCCATCCATCCATCCAACATTTTATTGTTCTATCCATCCATCCATCCATCCATCCATCCATCCAACATTTTATCGTTCTATCATCCATCCAACATTTTATCGTTCTATCCATCCATCCATCCTACATTTTATCGTTCTATCCATCCATCCAACATTTTATCGTTCTATCCATCCATCCATCCTACATTTTATTGTTCTATCCATCCATCCATCCAACATTTTATCGTTCTATCCATCCATCCATCCAACATTTTATCGTTCTATCCATCCATCCATCCTACATTTTATCGTTCTATCCATCCATCCAACATTTTATCGTTCTATCCATCCATCCATCCTACATTTTATCGTTCTATCCATCCATCCATCCAACATTTTATCGTTCTATCCATTCATCCATCCAACATTTTATCGTTCTATCCATCCACCATACATCCATCCATCCATCCAACATTTTATCGTTCTATCCATCTTTACACCTAACATTTTATCGTTCTATCCATCCATCCATCCAACATTTTATCGTTCTATCCATCCATCCATCCAACATTTTATCGTTCTATCCATCCATCCATCCTACATTTTATCGTTCTATCCATCCATCCATCCATCCATCCTACATTTTATCGTTCTATCCATCCATCCATCCATCCTACATTTTATCGTTCTATCCATCCATCCATCCATCCTACATTTTATCGTTCTATCCATCCATCCATCCATCCTACATTTTATCATTCTATCCATCCATCCATCCTACATTTTATCGTTCTATCCATCCATCCATCCAACATTTTATCGTTCTATCCATCCATCCATCCTACATTTATCGTTCTATCCATCCATCCATCCAACATTTTATCGTTCTATCCATCCATCCATCCTACATTTTATCGTTCTATCCATCCATCCACCTAACATTTTATCATTCTATCCATTGTTCCACTTTACATTTTATCGTTCTATCTATTGTTCTTTTACCAGAACCAGTACCTCTTTCCACATGTCCTTTCATTTTCAGCTCCACAACTCTGTCTTTTCTTTTTCACCCTAACAAAATCTATAAATAAATTAAGCTAATACATGTGGTCGAACATAACAAGGACTGTGGCACAAAAGCATCAAATCTTCAGTCACCACGTGACCACACGATATGACTTTATACTCATGAATAATCCATCAGATATTCTGCATTCATTTATGTGCACACACACTTACACAGCACTATTATATAAGCTCCTATATTGCTGATGATGACTGTCTGCTGATATTTCTCCACTCTTATTCAGTTTTGTCTCTCTTCTTCCTCTACAAGATGTGTGCTGTGGTCATTTAAGGCGAGTGGAGATGTATTACAGACTTTTCATGTTCTTTAGGTTTAATTGTGGCTGCCTTGGTGTTGCTAGGATGTTCTGGGTGGTTGCTAGGTTGGCTCATTTGAAAAGAGACTGTGATATTCTGGCCCTTTATAGTTAAGTCCCTTTCTTCAATGCAAGTTTATTAAATACAAATCTGTTATTTTAATATTAAATAAATAAATTATAATAACACCCTTCCCCTCATGATGAAGTTTTTGTATTTTTAAGCTTGTGCAAATGATCCGTTCTCTCAAGCATCACTTGAGCAACACTAATAGTGGTGGTTGACTCAGAAAGCACCACTAATTATGGATCAGATCCTCAAAGGTAATTTGCATTGGTGCAACACATCATCCCAATTTATTTATAGACTCGAGTTACTTTGCCCTATTTTCTTCTTGAGCTGTAAACTTTTGTGTGCCATTTCCAATCTGAGATGTCAATTTTGCTTTGAGGTCGGTGATGTTTTGCAGATTGTTCAGAGGGAAGAAGAGCGCTCAAGTGGTGCATAATGTATTGTTACAGAACGCCACTGGACAATACAGTCTATTTACTTTTACAACTATAATATTAATTTTACATCCATGCATTTGTCAGATGCTTTCGACACTTTATCAGTTCATGCATTACCTGGGAATTGAATCCCTTATCTTGACGTTGCTAACGCAATAGGGTTGTTTGTGAAAAAAAGTGAAGGTTTTTCCATTTATTAAATATGTCCAGGTCTGTGCAAAGGCTGATAAAAGTGAGATAATTTGTGTCTTTGTGCAACCTTTGGTGAAGGTTGTAGAGAATCAGCAAAGCAGAACACAGTGTGGATGACAGTAATCGTGTGCAAGCTGGAAGTGCAAAGGTGAATTTGGTCAGATGAAACAAAAAAGCAAACCCTTAATATGGGTTTGGTGCACACAGGGATAAAAAAGTATCCGATGTGAAAAATGAAATACTCTGCTGGATCTTTAATATTGTGGGCCTAGTTTTCTGACATCTTCAGAGACATGGCATCATTGATTCGATCAAATCCCAACAGATAAAAATCAGAGCCCTGATGCCTTCTGCTATAAATCTTATAACGAACATGTTTTGATCTTCCAACAGGATAATGATCCAAAAACAAACATGTGTCCCTGAGCACAAAACCAAGCCTCTGCAATGGCCATCCCAGTCCCTGACCTGATCCCTGTAGTAGATGACGAGCCGTGGCTGAACTGAAGAGAAGAAGCGCACACATGGATCTGTTCTCCAAACTCATCCTGCATTATAGAAGAAGACTCAGAGCTGATCTCTTGGAAAAAGGAGGTTGCAAAAAGTATTTAATGAAAGGACTTCAATGAAAGGTTAGAATTTAGCTTTTTTTTTAAATAAAATATCTAAAGGATTAACAATGCAGATTTATTTTTTACAGCCATCTTTGGTCATATTTACAAATGATTCAGCACTTTCTGTAATGTTTTGGCTAGTGCCCTCTGCAATTCAAAAATGGTCTTTTTTGAACAGACCATACCTGTAAAAAATAATCCTGTAAAAAAACGGTAAACTAGTTGCCAGCATCATACCATAACTATATGATGCGTTACTGTTTTTTAGTTAGAGCATATCAATCAATCAATTTACTTTATTCCAGACACAAAGGTCCATAGAGACAACACAGTACAGATATTTAAATGAATAAATAACAATACAAACAGTTAAAAAAATTATATATATATATATATATATAATTTTTTTTAACTGTTTGTATTGTTATTTATTCATTTATATATATATATATATAGCTGTTAAATTAAAGTTTTATACTGTAGCTGACAATATGGAGCTGTTAATTTCAAAAACAGTAACACACTGTATTTTTACAACCACAGCTGCCAGTAGTTTACCGCTTTTTTACAGGATTATTTTTTACAGTGGTATTTCATCACCAGTGCAATTACGCAAATGCATAATTTACAAGAATAAACGTGTAGTTTATACCTACAAAAACAAAGTGGATATCTAAGGTCTGTTCCACAACCCTAATGAGCCGCCCACTTTGACAACTATGAAACTATCATGCATCTTTTGCAAAGAAAACAATCCAATAATGCATTGCCCAGAGATTTTTGCATTAATTTAATATAGAACCGCATTAATAGAAATAATCAGTATTCCTTGAGTTGCTGCCAATGAAGCGTTTTCCAAATCAGGGGAAAATCTGCAGAATATATATTTTAGCATGGTAAATTGATGGTGATGTGTTGAGCAATGTGAATCACATCATTGCAGATATCTTGGAAGGTGTTTTTGTTTTTCGAGGGTACATCTCCAATGTGGGCCTGCCAATAAAGTTTATTTTCTGTTAGGATGTGTACCGCTACCTATATAGGCAATAGACATCAAGGCAGTTCACTTAATTTGGAACGGAGCTATAAAGTTGTCGTTTATAGAGGAAGTAATGTGTTTGTACTGCAGGTCTTGTTCCAGCTCCCCGTGGGCTGATGGGATTGTTGCTGAACAGATTGTACAGGTGTAACAGGAGTTTTATTCAACGACATGGCACCTGTCCAAAGCACTCAGCAGCGACACACAGAGAAGACAAGTCCTGCTACTACAAAAACGTGATACACGAGCCTGTGGTGGAGAAATAGTTTTCACTGACCCTTGAGAGTTGCTGTATCCATTATATCGATGACAGACCGATTACTGCAGGAGCGTGGCGAGCCAACAAGGTAATAAGTGTTGATTTCAAGCCTAAATTCATTTTAGAAGAAGGGCAAACGTTTGTTTTGGGAATACCGATGGTGTCCACAACATATGATACAATACAATACAATAAAAGAGTATACAGTGATGTGAATAAGTTTGGACACCCATGCTAAAGTTGCCTAAAAAGAGGAATAAAAAAATCATCTTTTGGATATTGATCTTAATGCCTTAATTAGAAAAATGAGGAAAACTCCAACCTTTAAGGACACCAATTTTCTTTGTGAATGAATAATGTATCATAAATAAATAAATGTTTTTCCTTAAAATACAGGGTGCATAAGTCACGGCACCCCTATCTTAAATTCCCATAGAGTCAGGCAGATTTTTATTTTTAAAAGCCAGTTATTTCATGGATCCAGGATAATATGCATCCTGATAAATTTCCCTTGGCCTTTGGGATTAAAATATCCCCACATCATCACACACCTTCCACCACACCTAGAGATTGGCATGGGCTACTTTCCATAAGATCATCTTTCAATGCAAATCACACCAGTTATTAGGCTAACTGAAGTAAAACCATGCCAATCTCTAGGTGTGGTGAATGGGATATTTTAATCCCAAAGGCCAAGGGAACTTTATCAGGATGCATATTATCCTGGATCCATGAAATAACTGGCTTTTAAAAATAAAAATCTGCCTCTATGGGAATTTAACATAGGGGTGCCCTGACTTATGCACCCTGTATTTTAAGGAAAAAACATTTATTTATTTATGATACATTATTCTTTCACAAAGAAAATTGGCGTCCTTAAAGGTTGGAGTTTTCCTCATTTTTCTAATTAAGGCATTAAGATCAATATCCAAAAGATGATTTTTTTATTCCTCTTTTTAGGCAACTTTAGCATGGGTGTCCAAACTTATTCACATCATTGCATATGCAATACAAGCCAATCACATCCGAAATTGAATACTTCCCCACTATATTGTATTCAAAAAACATATTGAACATATTGAAAAAACATGTTGAACTTGAAAGACATTCACCTATTTCATAGACTCTGTATGGTACCAGAGAATACAATTTTTATGTAAACATTAGCATTATTTCTCTATTTTACTTTATTTTTTCCATATAAAGCACTTTGAATTACTGTGAAATGTGCTATACTACATCATTAAACTGGTCTTGCCTACCTGGAAATGAGAGTCTGATGTAAGTACCGGAACATATTCTTTGTTTCCATCTCTTTTATTGCTTTCTTTGAAAGATTTGATATGATTTCCACAGTGTTGATTTATTGCAGAGGACCCACAGAGGACAGTATATGATCACAGCCCTGTGTTTTCCTGCAATGAGTACCATTTACACAGAGACATTCACTACAACAAGAACCTTCAGCTTATTACCTGATAATGAAGATTATTGCTCTTGTGGTTTTGTACAGCCAGCAGAGCATCCATTTCAGCAGGGCCTTATGGCTGATACAAGCAAACCCATGGCAATTATCCCCCTACAAAAGGACAAAACAAGTAATCATTGTTCTATGCATTTCAGAAAATGGATGTAAATAGCGGTATATTGAGGGTATCACGAGAAACTTTATAAGCACATGATGAGCTACTTCTTTATTAGTTTCTTTATAGAATGAACGCTATTGTTCGCCATGATTAATCGATCAATGGACTCGGTTAAAATCCCATAGTTCATTGATGTGATGTAAAATGGGTTACTCATCTGTTTTATACGGTGGTTATGTCCGTGATTACGCCGGAGATGGCCTTCTCTTTCAGATTAACAAAACAGTACATTTATTCTCCAAATATACTGTAGGTGTCACATCAAACCCCCTCCCATCCAACACGTGCCAGCTACAATTACCTGAAGATTGCTAGAATACATTTGCAAGAAACAAACAATAAAGTAAATAAATTAAATAATGAAATTGCAAACAAATTGACAATATAAAAGAGTTATTCACCAAATACGTCAAAGAAACTCGTGTATTACGTCCCCCTGGACTCTCAATAAATGTCAGGTATCTTTCTCCTATAAACCTCATTTTTTTCCAGTAATCCGTATGCCATTCCTTCATTTGCACAGACGTTGCCCAATTCTGTATCCCATTCTTGGAAAGATGGCAATCCTGGTGACCGCCGACTTCTCATAATTATTCATCTCCCAATCAAAATACGGTAACACTTTAGAATACGGTTCCTTCGTTAATGAATAACTACACAAGAACCAATGAGTAACACAATATTAACAATCTAGTAACTATTATTAACTAACAAGAAACTCTGATTAACGAACTAGTAAGTAATAGCGCACAGATGAAAGTGGTAGTTCACTATTAACTAATCAATAACTACTATTTTTTAATACTTCCCAGAGAACTACTGAAAAAGTTTATTAATAATATAGTAATTACTATTAACTAAAAGAAACTCTTATTAACGAATTAGTAAGTAATAGCTCACAGATGAAAGTGTTACTAGATACTTCTGTGGGAATTACTAATTATTTGGATTCGTTATAAAGTGAAGATCATTGGAACTAACTAGTAATGACTCATCTATCAAATGGGATTCATCCAAATACTTATTGAATTGTTGTATTGAAAAAGGGACTGAACTTAAATATTCTTGCTATTTTCTTCCAAACATATCATGATTGATACACCTCTGATTAAGCAGATCCTTGTTTTTGATCCTAAACCAATTTTCTCCGTTCCTCAAATTTAGCTTAAGAAACTTAAAATGTTTCATCACGTATAAAAAGAGTATGATGATAGAATCGAGTTTCTCATTCTGAGGAGGGTCATATTCATATACTTTTCTGCATCATACACTAAGAGTTGAAGTCGGTGTGACTTTTTAAAAATATTTTTAAAAGAAGTCTTTTATGCTTACAAAGACTGATTTATTTGATTAAATTGTGAAATATTATAAATTAAAATATTTAAAATGTAGTTAAAAAATATGTTGATATGCTGCTCAAGAAACACTTCTGATTATTATCAATGTTGAAAACAGTTGCGCTGCTTCAGATTTTTATGGAAACCGTAATACATATGTTCAGGATTCTTTGATAAATAGAGAAGAACAGCATCTGTTTGAAATAAGAAGATTTTGCAACATTATACATGAATTTGCTGTCACTATATATATATATATATATATATATATATATCTTACTGACCCCAAAATGTTTGAATGATAGTGTTATTCATATTTAAAACAAAAAATTAATATAACTAATTAAATTATTACATTAATATTAATAATAATATGATTAAATTATTAATAATAATATTAAATAAAAATTAATATAATACAAAAAAATTATTAAACTTTTTCATTTTTTTCTTTTTCAAAATTTTCCATTTTTAAAGACTGAAAAAAGTATTTTTTTCTTTTATCTCAATATCGCAATTAAAACAACATAAGTGTGATTTTTAAATAATATCACTGCTTTGCAAATTGTATTGTATGTTAGGGTTAGTTGGTTTGATAATATCTAAAATTATCGTCAAATCAGACATCTCTGATCCACCAAACTACTGTAAATCCCACACAATTCTTGGATCATTTTCAGAGTCAGATAAGAGGAAACAAACTGTTCGTCATCTTGTTATGATTTTTTATTATACTGTTATGATGCTTTTTGTCTGCTGTTTCTCTGTTCTTGATGCTGGGATGGTCAATGGTCAGTTTAATTGGATCCTCAGAGATAGTCTCTCTCACACAGAAAGAGATGAAAACGAGGACCCATGTTAAGGACACATTCAGCAAAGGATTCCTGCCAAACCTGGCAATTAAATTTCAGCCATAAGATAACGAGTTGTGCTCCTTATTCCATGGATAATTTCGTAGGCGTTTACTGGAAAATAAGGAACGCTGTGAAGAAAGAAATTGATCCCTGGAGGGAACTAAAGGTTCTCAAACATATGTTTCTGCCAATAAACTGATTGATAATATAATATCAAACTGTGGCATTAAAGTGAAAAGTTCCACTGTGAACATGACTAATTAATCCCTTAATGAGAGACTATAAGCAAAGTGAGTCCCAACTGCTTCTGTTCTAATTAGCTCAACACTGCGTTCATTTTATCCTGTGGAAAAGCACTTGTACAGCATATGGGACCACAACTACTTCACATCTTTAGTACATCTACACGTGAATCTTCATTAAAGCACGTTAGATCCACGTCTGAACAAACATTTCCAAACTGAACAATGTTGCTGATTTATTGAGCCCCTCGCCTGCACTGCAACATGAATAAATGATGCGCTCGCTACACTCTTAGAAAAAAAAGGTACAAAAGCTGTCACTGGGGCTGTACCTTTTCAAAAGGTACACTTTCTATCCAAAGGCTGCATATTGGAACATTAGTGGTACATATTAGCACCTAAAATGTACATATTAGCACCTAAAATGTACATATTAACATCTAAAATGTACTTATTTGCACCTAAAATATACATATTAACACCTAAAATGTACATATTAGCACCTAAAACTTACATATTACCACCTAAAATATACATTTTAGCACCTAAAATATACATATTAACACCTAAAATGTACTTATTAACACCTGAAATGGACAAAAGTTTAAAGTTTACCTTTTGAAAAGGTACAGCCCAAGTGACAGCTTTTGTACCTTTTTTCTGAGAGTTTATAGGATTATTATTTTGTGGTTTGCTGACTTGATGTTGTTGTTGTTGTTTTTGTCATCACTGTAATGTGTTGTGTGATCACTGTGATGTGAATCCAGAGATTGACTTTTTACTGCACATTTGCTGTCACTGTCATTGAGGTTTGTGTGCTATTAGGACATTATAACGATAATGATAAAGATAGGCTATATTTCTAAAAATCGTTCTGCGGCACTGTGATCTTATAGTGGGGTGGTGATGGCGCAGTGGATAAGACACATGCCTTTGGTGTGAGAGACTCGGGTTCAAATCCACTGTGAAACACCAAAACACCAATTTTGAGCAAGACACTTAACCTGCTAGTTGCTCCAGAGGCGTGCGACTTCTGACATATAAGTCGCTTTGGATAAAAGTGTCAGCTAAATGCATAAATGTAAATAGTTATCGTTCTTGGCCTTAAAGGAGTAGTTCACTTTTAAAAAAAACTTTTGCTGATAATTTACTCACCCCCATGTCGTCCAAGATGTCCATGTCTTTCTTTCGTCAGTCGAAAAGAAATTAAGATTTTTGATGAAAACATTCCAGGATTTTTCTCTATATAATGGACTTCAATGGGGTCCAAACGGTTCAAGGTCCAAATGAGAGTTTCAGTGCAGCTTCAAAGGGCTTTAAATGACACCAGACGATGAATAAGGGTCTTATCTAGCGAAACCATCGGCCATTTCAAAAATAAATAAAAAACTTTTAAGTTTTATTTACGTTTATTTACGTTCGCGAGTTCGAACTCTCCTGTTCGAACTCGTTCATCATATGAATAAATCTTTTTTCGAGTCATGACTCGAAGGGTCCTAGATGAGACCCTTATTCATCGTCTGGTGTCGTTTAAAGCTGCACTGAAACTCTCATTTGGACCTTGAACCGTTTGGACCCCATTGAAGTCCATTATATGGAGACAATCCTGGAATGTTTTCATCAAAAACCTTAATTTTTTTTCGACTGAAGAAAGAAAGACATGGACATCTTGGATGACACGGGGGTGAGTAAATTATCAGCAAAAGTTTTTTTTTTTTAAAAGTGAACTACTCCTTTAAGAGTGAGTATATCAAACTCTTGTAGTCCTATGTCAGGAATGCTCACCAATTGACATCTGCAGGTTTCCAGCGAGTCCGATAAATGTGTATACTGTATGTGTGTGTGCTGATGAGTGAGCGTATACTGTATCAGATGAGAGCTGACTCTGCCGCCTGTTCTTTGCAGAATGACACTGGATCGATAGACTTTCCCAATGCCTCCCTCTCCACAGATCAATCTATCTCAGCCCCTCCGCTGCTGTCAGCCCAGAGACGCACTGTCATTTAATCGCTCAGGTAATTATAAAAAGCAACTTTCAGGGGGATTCTTGACAAGTTAGTGATAGATGCAACCATATGTTCTCTGCCGGCGCTGCCTAAGCTTTTTGTAGCAGATTTTGTCTCCTCTTTTCTCATTAGCGTTTTTCTCTTTGTTCCCAGCCAAGTCGAAATATACAGGCCTACATTACCATATTATACCACTGTATTATATAGCCACTGTTATTGGTTTTACTATCTGGTGATCGTTAATGATCTAAGCCGTATGACTGTTATTTTTACTGTGATAAGATTTTTTTAAAGGAGTAGTTCACTTTTAAAAAAACTTTTGCTGACAATTTACTCACCCCCATGTCATCCAAGATGTCCATGTCTTTTTTTCTTCAGTCGAAAAGAAATTAAGGATTTTCTCCATATAATGGACTTCAATGGGGTCCAAACGGTTCAAGGTCCAAATGAAAGTTTCAGTGCAGCTTCAAAGGGCTTTAAACGACACCAGACGATGAATAAGAGTCTAGGACCCTTCGAGTCATGACTTGAAAAAAAGATTTGTTCATTTTGATGAACAAGTTCGAACAGGAGAGTCACGAACGCGCATCACAGAACAGAGCAAGGCGAGCATTTGTCCTTATAAAACTTAAAATGTTTTACTTATTTTTTAAATGACCGATCGTTTCGCTAGATAAGACCCGTATTCATCGTCTGGTGTCGTTTAAAGCCCTTTGAACGGTTTGCAGTTTGCACTTAAACTCTCATTTGGACCTTGAACCTTTTGGACCCCATTGAAGTCCATTATATGGAAAAAATCCTGGAATGTTTTCATCAAAAACCTTAATTTCTTTTCGACTGAAGAAAGAAAGACATGGACATCTTGTATGACATGGGGGTGAGTAAATTATCAGCCAAAGTTTTTTTTTAAAGTGAACTACTCCTTTAATTAGTCTAGTCTATCTGATCATATGGCAAGCATATACAGTAGATATCATTCCATGACGTTACAGTTTTTCTCAGTCACTTTAATGCATTTTTCACATCATCCCTAAGATGTGCAAAATAATAAGTGCATTTCTCAGAACAATTTGTACAAACTGCAATATACAATAGATATGTTTCTAAAGCTGTCAGTCAATAAAAATCCTTATACATCCCTCAAAAGTCAATATTCATGCCAATGATCATGTCAGTGTCATCAAAATGATAAGTCATTGAGTCATTGTTCATGAACAAGGTCATCAAAATGTTTAGGCATGTTGTCAATGTAACTGTGTTTGACAGGATCAACCCGATCTCACGACCAAGTCGTACGAATTCGACGAATGATTAAAAAGTGGCTAATTCGTAACAATTCATACGACCTCACTCGTACGAATTAATACGATTTTGCTAAATCGTACATATTTTACGAATTGGCCAATTCGTATGAATTCGTACGAATGACCTACCCCTGACCCCGCCCCTAAACCTAACCATCACGTGGGTTTAGACAAATCGTACAAATTAGTACGAGTGAGGTCGTACGAATTAGTACAAATTAGACACTTTTTAATCATGCGTCGAATTCGTACGAATTGGTCATGAGATAGTGTTGGACAGGATTACCTGATGTAAACTTAGGCTACCGTTTGGGTGACAGTGACTGTATTGAAAATGCTCAAGGCTGCACTTCTATGGCATCAATTTCAACAGTACTATTTCGATATTACTGTATGTGGGTGTTTTGAGGATTTTGTTTTTCACAGCTTTTACTAGTGCTACTTTATAAAATAATTTACAGTAAGAAATGCACCAAAGCGACTGAGAAAAACCGTAAGAAAAACTCTTCTTGAACATGCGGATCATTACATCATTTCTTTATTGCAACATTAGCACATTCTTTCCAAGTAAAGGCAAGAACTAAGTTAAACTAATTAGAAATAAGAAAGTTTACATTTTTTTGTCACTCTGTTAAAGAAAACATTTCATTCTCCTTCAAAATTTCCCACCAAAAGGAGCAATACAATCTCTGTGTTGTTTTTCTAATAGAAGCGATATCAATAGTTAAACAACAGAGGAAGCCGCTATGAATAATTCAATTACATTTAAATTCATGCATTTATCATAACCAACAAACAGTGTACAAACATATTCATGGCCAAAAATGTGACCAGACACATAAGCCACTTCATAAGAGAATGCATATAGACTTAAAATGTGTGATCTATATTAAAACAGATGCATTGTTTATCCATGTTGTTGCTATCATTAACATCATCATCATGTTCTTATATTAGATAGATGGATAGATGGATAGATGGATAGATAGATAGATAGATAGATAGATAGATAGATAGATAGATAGATAGATAGATAGATAGATAGATAGATAGATAGATGGATGGATGGATGGATGGATGGATGGATGGATGGATGGATGGATGGATGGATAGAGATAGATAGATGGATGGATGCATGGATGGATAGATAGATAGATAGATAGATAGATAGATAGATAGATAGATAGATAGATAGATAGATAGATAGATAGATAGATAGATAGAAGGATGGATGGATGGATGGATATATAGATAGATGGATGGATGGATGGATGGATGGATGGATGGATGGATGGATAGATAGATAGATAGATAGATAGATAGATAGATAGATAGATAGATAGATAGATAGATAGATAGATAGATAGATAGATAGATAGATAGATAGATAGATAGATAGATAGATAGAACGATAGAACGATAGAGATAGATAGAACGATAGATAGATAGATAGATAGATAGATAGATAGATAGATAGATAGATAGATAGATAGATAGATAGATAGATAGATAGATAGATAGATAGATAGAAGGATGGATAGATAGATAGATAGATAGATAGATAGATAGATAGATAGATAGATAGATAGATAGATAGATAGATAGATAGATAGATAGATAGATATTTGCTATGTTTAACATTTGATTATTATTTAATGTTATGATTAACTCATTTTCATGTAACAAGCCTTCTATATCAGAAGTGAAGCTTTGAGTTCGACTCCAGAGAAGAAGGGATGATGGTAATCTGATGAACGAGTATCATCATGTCCCCCCTCGAGTAAAATGGGGTTAAGTGATTGTTTTCAAGGACACAGTGGTGATAGAAGAGATCTGTAATCACAATCCCTCTCGTTCGGGCGACCTTCTCCTTACCGCAAGTGATTTATTTTAAACCTTTGTCTTTCCATCTGTTAACTAGACTCTACATCTGTACATGCGGTTCACCAAACTGTACAAGGCCGTCGCTATTTACTCCGGTGCTTTTATCCAAAGCAACATACAACCCCTCCTCTCTCAAAACTCATGCTTTTGTTCATGTTCAAATCTTTGCCTCAAGATGGGACATCGGTAACATGTCCTACTTCTGTCATTGAGTCTTGCGTGTCTCATTATCAACACTTTTGATTACGCACAAACATGAGTGATATGGGACAGAGGGGAATATTTTCAGTGCATGCATAACCATTATATGCAAGCACTCAATGATGTTCTTATTTGTTGATATTTTTGAACTTGTTAGACTTATTATATGTTTAAACTTAGTCAATCAACTTGGGGCTTGCAAACCGTAGTTCTGTTGTTCAAACTGTTTCATGTCCCACCTTATCTCAACACAGCTTGATCACATACTGTTCCCTTATAAAATGCATCTACATGTTTTCCCCCATCCGATCAATAAAAACATGGAGTGAAAATCTGTGTGGAAAAAAGCAGCTTTGGTATTCTAAACACATCATTTTGTGTTTCACAGAAGAAAAAAGTGGCCACACTTTAGATTAGTGGCCAATTCTCAATATAAACCAACTATTAACAGTGACTTTTGCCTCAATAAACTCATAATCACTGCTTATTGATAGTTAGTATGGTAGTTATTAAGTTTGGATAATAGGATTAAGGGATTTACAAATGGTCAAGGCATTAAGTAGTTACTACTAAACAGCCAGTAATATGCATGCTAATAAGCAATTAGTAGTAAGAATTAGACCCTAAGACCCTAAACTAAAGTGTTACCAAAAAAGTCATTAGTGTTTGGACAAAAGGTGAGTATGATGCAATGATTGTGCACTAATCAAGTAGATGATGTTCGTTTGGATTAATTAGTAATTTAACATGAAATCGGTTGTGTAGAGTATGACCTGAAAGACTGATGAGCAGTTAATCCTTTGCATTTTAAACATGCCAGCCATTGCATTGCATTCAGACTCATCTAATTCTGTCTAGGGACTCACCGTTGGCAGTGGTGATGCTGGCCACCACAGGTAATTATGCCATTGATTAATTGTCAGAAATAACAAGCCCACCTCTTCCAGTTACCGCGGTGCGCTCGAGCGTCTCTAATAGGGCGCGCGCGGCAGTTGTAGTAGCGCGTGCCGCATAGTTTCCTCGTGATTTGTGGGGAGACTGTGGCAAGGCAAGGTGTGTGTTAGGGACATGGACTTCACATACTGAGGGATTGAATCAACATTTACCATTATCACGTTATTGTCGACAAATTTCACCTCACCGTAGATGTTTTCTGATCTCGTGAGTGTTTGTGTTAAAAGGGCGGGAAAAGCGCTTTTCAATTCAACGTCGAAAAACAAAAATGAGTAAAAAGATTTTAATAATTCAAACATCAGGACGGAATAAATTAGATTTGTTTAGCTTTTGTATAGCTTACTAAAAGACAGGCAAAGTATAGCAAATAACATCAAGTGTTAAACAAAATACAGCGAGAAGGAAACGTGACGTAAAATTACAAAGGAAAAATAATTGGCTATAGATTTAATATCCTATATAATAACTTTGTTAAGGGTCAAACTGTTAAAAGGCATCGTTAAACGTTGTTAAACGTTGTTAAGGTAAATTAACAAGCACTGTATGCCAACAGAGTTGCTGTAGTGTAAATCCTCATAGTTGTTCTATATGCGCACAGATTTGATCTGAAGATCAGCCTCATTAGGACTGCGGGCATCAAACATCCCACAGCGAATAGACTGGAGATCTGCCTCACAAAAAGAAAGGTCACTAAACGTCTTTATTTGCATTGACCCCGCTGTATCTTTGTACTGAAGCGAAAATTAATGTGATTCACGGGACGAGAGATTTTGCGCAGCGACCCAAGGATGATCTGGATGCTTCATCCGCAACATGGAAAAGCAGGAGAACACACTGCTGCTGCATCCCTGCAATAAAACACAACCAGGAGTCTGGGAATTTCATCGTCTGAGGATTTTAGCCTGCAACTGAACAGTTTAAAGCTGGATTTATGTCGATAAGCAATCCATGGGATGGAGACGGAGATGGATGTAGAACTACTTTAATGAGCGCGAGGGTGAGTCTAGTCATTTAACAAACTACTAAAGCGGATCCACAAGTGGTGTATCTGAAGGATTTGTGCAGCTTATTTGGAATGCAACAATATAAATGAAATGCGTAATTGTTATCCTTGCGCGTTTGAAGCAAAATAAAGAGTATCAACTTGGAAAGTTAATTTTCTCTCTTTTCCAAAACTTATCGTGCTTGTTTGATAGAAAATACATGTGCAATATATCCTATAGAAGACCGGAGTGTCCAAAAGCATCAGCACCACAGCAGCGGCAGCGCTAGAGGATCCATGTCACTGACAATGGCAAATGGATAAATTAAGCTGGTAAGCGTCTTAAAATACGGCTTTCTCTCCTCTAAAACTTATCTGAAGTGTTTGATACATATCATTAACGTTATGCTAGGAGGTCTCGGGGTGTCCTCAAGAAGCAGGTGTAGAGGATCCATGTCATTGCATTGGTCGCTGTCCACCGCGCCGGTGGTGCTGAGATCTGGATGATGCAGGGCTGCCGCTCCCTTCACATTAACGAAGACAATGGGCGCTTTCTGCTGCTCGCGTTGCTCATCATCGTGTATTTGCTGTGTGGCGCTGCGGTGTTTTCCGCCATCGAGAGGCCGTCCGAGCTGCGGGCACACGGGCGCTGGAACCGGACCCTCCTGAACTTCAGTGACACGTTCAATATCAGTTTGCAGGATCTGAGCTCCTTCCTGAAAGAGTACGAGGTTGCGATTGCTGCTGGAGCTCGGGTCGATGCTCTTCGACCCAGATGGGATTTTACCGGCGCGTTTTATTTCGTTGGGACAGTGGTGTCCACTATAGGTAAGTCACCAAAATGCATGATTTTTTTTAATGGGGATAATTATTGTTGATCATTTTATCTTCTTGGGCTATTAGAAAAACAGTGCTTTTCTTAAAAGATGCGCTCAATTAGGCTTTGGTAACACTTTGTTTTGATTGTCCCTTTTGAACATTGACTTTGCAACTCTCAGTATTAGTGCTAACTCTTTATTTTGATGCTCCTAAACAGATATTCAACTGACTATAAGTAACTTTGCAAGAACATGTCAACTTTTTCTAAGCCTACTAGTCTATTAATACCCTGAGTGTTAGTAGTCATGTTGGTGCAATTTTACTCCAGAATGTTTTAAAGGGACAAGTGAAACCAGCTTTATTTCTTCTATTGATTACGAAAGTGGCTTATTTGCTGCCATAGATCTCAAATCTCAATAGTGCTAGCACATATTCAAACATATTATTTATAAGGTCTTGATGGGCCAAATTTGAATATGCAAATGTGTAAATTAAATGTGAGAGCTGCACTCAAAAATAACTCTTCGATTGAGCTGCTTTATTTCAGCATTATGCAATTCTGTTATTCCAACTTAATTTATGAAGGTTGATTCAACTTATTCACTGTGGTTGGGCACAGCTTCATTTAATATTGTCAGTGAATTTAGAAAGGCTCCCTGATAAGATTCAGGTTTTCAAATTCATAATATTCATTCATCCAATAAAAAAAATTGATTTTAGTTTCACACTCTAGACTATAACTATATACTCTAGACCAGTATTAGCTATGCTCTAAAAAATGCTGGGTTGTTTTAACCCAACTTTAGGTCAAATATGGACTAACCCAGCTGTTGGGTTACATTTTTACATTACATTTTTAACCCAACATTTCGGGTTTGTCCATATTTGACCCAAAATTGGGTTAAAACAACCCAGCATTTTTTAGAGTGTACTGATAACACTTGTTAGCAACTTAAATTATAATATTTACATGCTTCATCAACCAATGCATTTCATGATGGAGCATTTCAATGCTACTAATAATTGAACATTAAACACAATTACGCACGCTAAAGTCTTCCCCTTTTCTCATTTTCTCAAAAACATAAAATAACACTTAATTTAGACATGTGTTAATTCAGCCATATGCAAAGCATGCTGGGAACTAACAAGCACAGCCCAGTTTCAGTTAATGCAACACAAATCATTCATGTAATCCAACACAAATGGATTAAGTAAACTTAAATTTGACATATTTAAGTAGATTGAACACAATCAAATTAAGTTTGGACAAAATGTATAGCAATTGTGTTGCTTAAGCTCAATTTCGACAAGCAGCAAAAATCACGGTGATATTTTAAATAAATAATGGTTTTCAGTCTATAACTTTCTTAAAACTATCGTGTGATGAATCATAAGGACCACGTTTATGATGCTTTTGTTGTTCCCTTTCGAGCTTGTTGGTATAAATCACGGTCCACTTTCATTGTGTGGGAATGGCAGAGGAAAGTAAGCCATAAGAGAAAGCATGAGGAACAATAAAAGATGTTTTATTTTTGGGGTGAACCATAAACTAGTGCTGAACTAGTGCAATTGATATTTTCTGATTGGCTATCAATGGTTTTTATGGGAATTTTTCAAGCGATTCCTATATTGTGTCGTTATCGTTAAAGTTGTGGACTTGGAATGATTTTGGTGATCATCATTTTGGTGATGATGGACTTTAAGGCTGTATACCTAGAATAGAACGACACAGAAATGGAAAAAAAATACTGTCAGCAAGTGCTATTTTTATTTGGCAGCAACCGCCTCTGGCTCTTTGCTTGACCCCATGACCTTTCATTGAATCTCACAGCGCACTTCTGCCTTGCCAAGACAACATTTCCTTGCTCTCTGCAGAGACTTCACTTTTCCATTGGCCTTTCCCCAGCATTAGTCCTCTGAAGAGCAGTAAACACCCTCTAGTGTTGACTCTTTCTCTCGGGCACCAGGCGGCCAAGCCAACTCCCCGCTGGACTTCTGCATTCAGGACAAACCCTCCGGCTTGCAGTTTGCTGTGGGGCTCATGTCCCAAAAACCAAATGTGCTGATGCCCACATGTCCTGGATAACATTTACCCGGTTATAGGTCACTAAAGAGCAAGTACCCCTTCGAGGCAACCCACTGGTTATTGTGTATTTGCTTCCTACAGCCCTTGGCTCCTGTTTTACACTTTCCATCGGCAGTGAATTATCAATAGCCTTGCACTTTGTAGTTCTTTCAACTCAGAGTAATGTATTCAGCAGGACTGTCTCTGTACTCTGTAAATGGGTGCCGTTCTGTTTCAGGCTCCTCCTCATATATTGTTGTTATTTCCTTTAGCTTAAAACCGTCAGGATTCGGGTCGGGTTGCACAAGCCATTTGTATGTTCTTAAATAAATTGGGACGTAAAGTCCATAATAGAGGCTTAGTGAGTAGTTTGTAACTAACTCTGTACTTACAGTGATGAGAATAATTTTGGACACCCATGCTAAAGTTGCCTAAAAAGAGGAATAAAAAATCATCTTTTGGATATTGATCTTAATGCCTTAATTAGAAAAATGAGGAAAACTCCAACCTTTAAGGACACAAATGTTCTTTGTGAATGAATAATGTATCATAAATAAATAATTTTTTTTCCTTAAAATACAGGGTGCATAAGTCAGGACACCCCTATGTTAAATTCCCATAGAGTCAGGCAGATTTTTATTTTTAAAAGCCAGTTATTTCATGGATCTAGGATAATATGCATCCTGATATTATATACGTATATTAAAATATCCCCACATCATCACACACCTTCCACCACACCTAGAGATTGGCATGGTTTTACTTCAGTTCGCCTAATAGCTGGTTTGATTTGCATTGAAAGATGATCTTATGGAAAGTACCCCATGCCAATCTCTAGGTGTGGTGGAAGGTGTGTGATGATGTGGGGATATTTTAATATATATAATATCATGATGCATATTATCCTAGATCCATGAAATAACTGGCTTTTAAAAATAAAAATCTGCCTGACTCTATGGGAATTTAACATAGGGGTGTCCTGACTTATGCACCCTGTATTTTAAGGAAAAACATTTATTTATTTATGATACATTATTCATTCACAAAGAAAGTTTGTGTCCTTAAAGGTTGGAGTTTTCCTCATTTTTCTAATTAAGGCATTAAGATCAATATCCAAAAGATGATTTTTTATTCCTCTTTTTAGGCAACTTTAGCATGGGTGTCCAAACTTATTCACATCACTGTAATGTGTTTGCACTATTTGTTCTAAAGGCAGAATGTAGGTTGTAAGTCTGGAAGTTCAAGTCTGATTGGCTGGTTTGATGTACCAAACATTGAGGAAAAACTAATCATTGGATTTATCAGTTTTACTCTCGACTTAAAGTAAGCTTGATGAACACCAGCAGAACTAGATGAGAAACAGTAATGTGTAGCAATTCTTATCAAAAAGTCTTCACAGTTTGTAACTTTTTGAGCATTATCATAACTACTCTTTCAGTTTAACCAGCATATAAACGAAATGTAAAACAAAACGAATGTGGCTTGTGGATTTATGCTGGCAGGCAAAGGTCTCGCTCTATAGGAGGAAAGCAGCACAGTCTAGCAAGTATAATTCTGCTTTATTTACCAACTAAGCTTAAATGAATGTGTTTTGTGCACTGATGCGTCTCCATCTTCCTTTCATCTCTGTGGGAACTCTCCATATACATCCCACCTCCAGAAGAGCTTCAAAGTCAGTGAATGAGAGGAGCTCGGGCTTTGTCATAATGGGGTTTTTCTCAAACACTTCTTCCTCATCTGAGCGAAACCCTCGGCCATTTCACACACACTGAGTCACAATCAGACTGAGACATTATAATGGGGGGAAACATTAATTCACAGATGCATCATTGATTCATTCCTCAAACAATAATGATATTCTGAATTTTAAAGTAATTATTAATCATTCTGTTTGTTGGAAATACAAATTAGTGCCGTTTAGTACTGTTTACACTGGTGTTTGTGCAATCAAACACACTTGTCTTCACGTGAGTTTATTAGCCAAAGGTTAAAAGTACAATAAAACGGTCACCTTAAAATAAAGTGTAACCCAACATGGTAACACTTTATTTCGATGGTCCACTTCAGACATTCTTCTAATTATCATTAACTTTGTAACTACATGTTAACTAGCAGTGACTAGAGTTTTACTCGACTGCAACACTTTATTCTGATGCTCCTAAAAAGACATTTTACTGACTATAAGTAACTTTGCAAGTATGTTAACTTATTCTACTAATCCGAAACTAATAGTCTACTAATACTCTAATTGACATGTACTTGCAAAGTTACTTATAGTTAGAAGATTGTATGAGTGGACCATTGAAATAAACCAAGGAAGTTAATAAAGGCATTCAGTGCTCTTAAGGAACTGGTACAGTGTAACTGAACTGAGTAAATGTAACTTTTTATTCTATTATATCAACAACCATTCAAAGGTTTGAGGTCGGAAAGAGCTTTTAATGTTTTTAACATCAAAACTGCATTTATTTGATGGACAAAAACAGGAATTTTTAGGAATTATTATTGTAATTTAAAAAAAGTGTTTTCTATGTGAATATGTTTAAAAATGTAATTTATTGAAATGTCAGCATCATTACTCCAGTCTTCAATGTAAATCATTCTAATATGGTGATTTGATGCTTAAGAAACATTTATGATTATTATCAATGTTTAGTGCTGCTTAATATTTTTGTGAATATTTTTGTGAATTCACACATATATACTGTATTTCACTTTTGAACGGTATCACTGTAAAAAATATTTTCAAGATTTGTTATCACAACATATTTTCTTTTGTCAAATCAACTTTATAATAATTTATTTAATTGAGATAACTTATTATTTTGAGTTTCTGATGGTTAAATTAATCTACTTCATTGTATTAACTCACTTTTTCCAGTTTAATCAACTTAAAATTTTAAGGCAACCAGGTTACTTACTTTTTTAAGTTAAAACCAAT